GTTTATATAAAAAATAATGAAAGTTTTTACAATATAATTGTATAATAAAAAGTTGGTTACATTAGTTGTGTCTTTTTTTTTCTTGTGGTAATAAATGCCCATGATACGTAAAAAATACCTGCCCAAATCAAAAATCTTAGTCAATCTATGCACTATAGTCCTCGCAAGTGACTACTTCAGTATGGCGCCCTTATTTATCAAAGTTTCCATATATTCTAGATAAACTTTTTTTTTTTTCAGGTACATTCTTTTCATTTGGTGCCCCTTGGGTATCTGCCGCCTGGAACAAACTGTCGCTTTCGCCCCTCCCCATTTTCGGCGGCCCTGATCATTATTATTGTTATTTTTTTGTAATTGTATTTGCTTTCAATAAAAGAAATTACAATTACAGAATGGCTTTATTACAAATATAATCGACAGAACTTCCAGAAGATTATACGATCTTATCATGAAGCCCTTTACAATATCAAATATAAAAATTATAACAATAAAATCAAATTAACCAATAAAAATAAATCAACATAAACTATATTTAACTGTGCATTTAAAATATAAATATACTAGATAAATTATATGAATTATGTGAAACAAAAGAACTAAAAACAAGAAAAAATATTTTCTGCTGATAAGATAACTTCTTTTAATTTTTGTTTAAAAGAAGTTAAAGTCCATTTCAATGACAAATCAAAATTTGGCAAAACTATTTTGTTCCATAAATAAGGACCGTAATAAAAAATAATTAGTTGTTCAAATTTTGTTTGGCAGAAAGGTTCTTGTAGATTTTTTCCATCGCGAAGATTGTATTTGTTTATGGGTTTTACATCATAAAGGTTTATAAATACATTAGAAGATAAATGATTTTTACATTTAAACATGAAACATAAAATATTATAAACATTTAGTTCGTATACATTTAAGGCTTTATTTCACTGAGAAGTGGTTTTGAATTTGAAAAAGGATTTTTAAAATTAATTAACTTAAATCTCTTTATCAGCATCAGAAACACGCGAACTGCATGTTTTTGTATGAACACGCGAACTGCGTGTCTTCGTTGCTGATAAAGAGATTTAAGTTTAGTTTTGTGCGCGTTTCCGTCTATCCACTGCCATTTAAATTATACAGTATTTAAATTAAATGGCAGTGGATAAACGAATAACATAGTTGTTTTAATTGTTGTTTATGTAAAATATGTCAAACTTTATATATAATTCCAATACTTTTAGCAACTTTCAAGGAGATATTATCGATTTGTTGTTTCCATGATAAGTTTTCGTCTACAAGAACTCCGAGAAGTTTTGTAAATTTTTCCCTTTTTAGTATTTTATTATCAATGAAGAGGTCGGGCAGCGTATTTGATAAACATTTTTCTGGATGTTGGGTAAAAAAGTGTCCATTTTGTTTTATCAATATTGAGGGACAATTTGTTTCTCTTAAACTAATATGAGATTTTATTTAATTTTAGTGTCATATTATACAAAAAGTGTATTTATGTTTTCATGAGATTGGAATAGGTTTGTGTCATAAGCAAAAATTATAGTGGTTAAGTTAGAGGCTTTGTTGAGGTCATTTATATATATATTAAAAACAATAGGGGTCCAACTATAGATCCCTGAGGGACACCACATAATACATTCATTAATAAAGGCATAGAAGAGTCTTGGATATTAACAAACTGCTTACGATTACTAAGATAGGTTTTGAACCAGCTTAGGCATTATTCTTTAATTCCATAAAGTTTAATTTTTTTGATAGAACGTTGTGATCGACAGTATCAAAAGCTTTAGAAAAATCGATAAATACTCCTAGGTATAATGAGAATTTTTAAAAGAATTAGAAATGCTGCGTGTTAGTTGAAGTATGGCGTGTTCAGTAGAACAGTTTCTCTAGAAGCCGAATTGATTATTATATAAAAGTTAAGTATCAACAAAATAATTGTAGACTCTGAGGCTTTTAAAGAGTATATCTTTCGAAACCTCAAAGGAGTCTATTATAACATTTTCATTGGTGCAATCAGCACCAATCACCTTATTCCGTTTTAATGATTTAAAAGCTGCTTCAAATTCGGTGTATGTTAGGTTTGAAAAATTTAAAGTTAAACTAGGTGATGCTATAAAATCATCAATTGATTTGTCATTAAGATAAGGAGTTTTATTTAAGCTTGTTCCAATTGAGAAAAAAAATTTATTAAATTCAAAAGCAATTTTATTAGGGTCATTAAATAATTTGATTTTAATTTTTATTGCATTTGGTAACTTTTCTTATTTATTCTCTTTTCTTATTTTTTTTCGTGATCTCTTTCATTAGTTGCCAAATACGCTTTGAACTATGTTTATGCTTTGCAAACAAGTCGAAGTAGTAATTTCTTTTTGCATTTTTGCATTTTTTAATTTTTGCATTTCGACATTATTCTTATAAATTAAGTAAATACTTTTATGATTGATTGATTTATATTTTAGATATTTAATATACAGTTTTTGTTTCACTTTCGATGATTTTTTAAGTCCTTTAATTATCCAAGGACATGATACGATCTTGGCCTTAAGGATTATATCACGAATAGGAAAGTTTGAGTCATAGATGGATTTAAATGTTTTGAAAAAAGAATCGTAGATCAGGTTTATATCATCGTCGAAATTAATATTGCTCCAGTTTTGATTCGAAATTTGTTCCTTAAAGGATTTCAAATTATTGTTACTTTTTACACGCTTTTTTTATAGTTGTTATAACGTTATTATAACTGTTATACTCGCAAACAAAATTAATTAAAGAGTTAACTGCATTTGAATAAAATTGTTTGTAATTGCTAAAAATAAATTACTAAAAATAGATTCTTTAACTTCTTTATTTAAATAATTTATTTATTAAAGTTTCTCATTACTTTGAAAAAACAAAAAATATCAATTCAATAGTTTTGTTGAAATATAAATAGTGCTCTGACAAGTATTAAATATTTTAATAAAACGTGGATGTTTTATTTAACGTAACGATCTGTTTAAGAAACTATTGTTATGGTTGCATAATTAGGAATAAATATACCTTTTCTTTAATGTATATACTTTGTATCAAAAAACTTATTATGTGTCAAAGCATATATAATTAGTATTACATTAGGAAGTTCGAATTTAACAATTTAGAAATCGACGGTGTCGAATAGGAAAAAATTGTATGTACGGATCGTAATTGCGATGGTAATTTTTTTATATATATTTCTTTATTTTTATGTAGTTTATATTCCTAAACTTATATAATGTAAACACCTTCATGTTTAATTTATTATCAATAAGAATTTTTTAGAGCTACAGTAAAGCTTTCGCATTTCACTTAAGAGCAATAAATCAACAAAAACCGATTTAAATAGTTAATTAACTGAAGATATACTTTTCAAACAATTTTAGAACTTGGTGTATATAACAATCATTTACTTTCATGATAAATTAGATAAATAAATAAAAAAATGGCGCTACAAAAATAAGAATAATATTAATCTAAAAAGTCCCTCCTGAGTTCATATGCATGCTTTTACGGGTATACTTACGCGTTCTTTTTTACAAGCATTACACATATCTTTATCCAAAAATTTGTTGCAAATTTCAACTACTTTTTTTAAAACTATTCTCCGAACAGAATGAAATGAATTTCTTCTAGTATAATGATTAATTTTTATTTTTATCAAATCAGCTTAAATATGGCAGTCAAATCAAATGATTTTTTTTGAAACTCTATTTATTGCTTTTAAATTGGCAAGTCTGCAGATGGAATAAACCTGTTTGTTTGGATATTTATATATTCATTTTGGTTTTGATCTGATTGGGTATTACATAAATCTACTTCATAAAAATTTAAACGGTCCAAAATACTGACATCTGCAACACCACCCTGAAACCTTAGTTTACAAACTAACCAAGCTATGTTTTTTAGAGTAAAATCATTTATTCAAAGCTTTATTTATTTTTATTGTCTAACACGTCAAAAATATATTAATTAAAAAAAAATTACTTGCTTTTAACAGTTTATGGATCGACTAATTTATCTCTTTACACCACCTTATCTTGCTATACCTTATGACCCTCCTTGAAATTCATATAACTTTTTCCAGCACTAATTTGGCAAAAACTGTAAGTATTATGTTTTTTTTAAAAAAAAATGCGATAATGATGCAGTAGCAAATAATCTTTCATAGTGCGATAATGCGTTTTTTCCTCTAGGTTTGCTCCTCAAGATTTGTATTTCCGAATTAAAAGGTTGAGAACGGATTGTAACTACGATTAACAAAAACATCCTTGCAAAAATAAGAAGGCTCAACTTCTTTGCAAAATGAATTTTCAAAATTCAGAATAATATTTCACAAACTATTGCACTGTTCTAAAATAACAAGCATATATTTTTTGACTTTTTTGTATCCTTTAATGAAAATGTTTAAATATATTACAACTTTTATAAAACTATTTAACCCAAGTCAGTTAGGTCTGAGAACGCCTAAAGGTCCTACCACATGGCACCGGTCAAGGATATTTGACCTAGAGACTCCCGCCTCCTTTCTTACCATTGTCACTTATCTGAGCAGAACCCACTTTTAACATATTAAATTGAACATATTCTTGTATTTTTTTTATTGCTAAGTGTTTAGTATTTGATTAAACCTATTATCTGCTACATAGTTGATAAACGCCTGACGTTTTTTCACAGATACTTTACTTTAGTGGCCAAAATGTTTTGGTGGCCACCAAAGTCAAAACTTTATTTGAGTGCAAAATAATTTCCACAAAGTATCGAATCCAATTTACTTATATTAACAAAGTGTGTATCCATTCATCGTAACCAGGTCTGACAAGGAAGTGGTTGACGGGAAAGGTTTCTGTTGCCCGTTTTTTCGGATTTTCTCTTATTTATAATTTCTTATTTTTGTGTCCCGGTCCCGAAAATTTCCGCACATTGAAAATTACCGCTTTCCAACAACAACACTGGCGGAATCGTTTTGCAGAGCGATTTTTTTAACGTCGCGTTAAATCGTAATATATGCGGATTGTTTAGCGAGAATCAATTATAAATTATTGTATGCATGGTATCAAAATAATGCTTGCAAATCTGATAAGTAACACGTTTCCGTTAACGGTATACTTAGATTTGATTTTAAACATTCCAAAAATATTTATAATATTCTTGTACCAGTGATTTACTTTGGATTGCAACGGGTTAGTGAGTCATAGTATGCAGATTTAAAATTAAAACATTTTATATAGCATTTCATATAAATATTTTCTGCAAGGAAAAAAAAATTATAATAAGGAATATTTTTTTTGTGTTTTTCTTTTTTAGGTTGAACTGTAATAGTGTTAAAGTATGTATTTATTACAAGTGAAATATAAAGATGTCTACACCTAACAATATTAGCAATGAACAGACCTTAGCTGAAGCTTCTGTTTTTGGAAAATTGTTTTGTCTTTCTGGTATTAATTTAAACAATTTTTCACCTTCAATAAGTGATTCTCAGAACCAGCATAATTGTAAAAGTATAACTAATCTAAATGAAGATTCAGTTTTTGATGAAAATGGCCATTTTCTTAAAGACAGTTTTAAAGACGGAAGATATTTTAAACTAACCAGTTCTTTTCCAGATACCAACAACTTAGATATTTTAGATTATAATAAGTTGAATGATCACAATCAAGATGACAATTGTGTTGATAGCTACAATGAATACAATGGAAATCAGATTGAAAAAAAGTGTCAGTTTAGTGCAGGTACTTGGTTCGTTTTTGCTGGATATTCTGAAAAATCTGATGATATAAATTCTACAAGAATCTATGAAAATTTTAATAGCTCAGTTGTTTATAATCAGGAGGAAATTAACATTTCTGCAAAGTCAATAGTGCATGAAAATGAGATATTCATTAAGACTACTAATGATAACGTTAAATTAGATTTTGAGGTTTTAGAAGAAGATATAAAAATAATAACATTTTATGAGAATAATACTTCTCAAAACAATTTTAAATCTAGACTACAAGGTATTCAAGAGCATGAGCTGTTTCCAGAAAAAAAGTTTGATAATATAGAAATTAGTTTTCATGAACTAGAATCAAATAATAAGAATGAAAGTTTACTTAAGTTTCTCGACAAAGTAAATAATAATGCTGTTGACAACTCTTTGAATGAAGTCGAAAAAAGTAGCATTGGCACAATATGTACTAAAAATGCAATTCCAGTTACCTTCAATCAATCCACAATCATTTTGACAAATAAATTTGAAGAAGTTTCCTTAACAATTAACACAGAACAATTAGGTGTACATTTAGAAGACTCTGAAAGCACAACTTTAATTTTAAATAAGCCTCCTGTGTCTCCAAGATCAAAAGTAATTATAAGGCAAAAAGATTTGATTGATAAACCATCAGCTACATCTAATTCAAACGATTATAAAGAGAAATGCAGAAAGGTTAGTGATGAATATTTTGAAGAAGTTTTTTTAAAATTAAACATGCTTGATTTAGATATAAATTTGGATGACTCTCAAAACAGATCAAATGTTTTTGAAAATGAACCTCTTACTTCTTCAAGATCTAAAATTTTTATAAGACAAACAGATTCGTTCAATAAATCACCAATCAAAATTGAAAAGCAAAGAAAAGTTAGTGATGAAAATATTCATGAATTATTTCAAGAAGCAAATATGAAAGAAATAGATTTTAATTTTCCTGACTCTGATAACAATTTAAACACTCAGAAAAATGATACCTCTGACTCAGATCATTCTTATAAAAATGAGTCTTTTGGCTCTCCAAGATCATCTGTTTTTATAAAGTCAAAAAAAATGTTGGATAAATCATTTTCCACAGATTTATCAGCTGGCAAATTTATAATCAAAGATCAATCTAGTGATAGAAAATCGATGTCTATGAGCAAACTTATAAAAAAATCTAACTCTGTTTTGAAAAAAGGTGTTAGCAAAAGTTTAGACTATAGCTCAAGTGAAGATGAAAATAACAAGTCATTAAAAAGAAGTAGGAGTTTCAGGCGTAGCATTGTCATTCAAGATGAAGAAGGTGAAATAATAAAAAACCAATCAGGTGTTTTTGTAAGCATTAATTTCATAACACCATTGGCACAATTTAATAAAGAAAATAGTAAAGATATGAACATTGATACTCATCAGAGATTAAGAAGTTTACTTTTATTTTTGGAAAATATGGTTGTTAGTGTTGCGACATTTGCAGAATACTTTGAGGCTGTTAAACAGTTACACTCAATATTTTCAGAGTTAAATGGGGATATACATAAAGGATACAGTGTAAAGACAAAAGATGATTGTTCATCCATGTTAAACTATTTAGTATATTCTGACTGGCCAAAGGTTATTTTAAGTTGCATGAGAAAACTTGTCGCATCATATCCCAATGTTTTTACAGAATATGAATGCATTGAAGTAAGTCTAATTTTTTTTTGTAAATGATGGTTATTGTTTGTTATATTACATATTATTGAATATGGGTGATTCCATGGAAAAATCTCCTGAACAAAGAAACTATATCTTTAAACAAACGAAAAAAAAATTACAGTTTTTATTTTCTAATTTTTAAGGTTTAGGTCTTAAAAATTAGAAAATATAAACTCACTTATTAAAATAAAATTCCAACCCACCTGTTTAATAAGAACCATCTCCCTTTCATTTATTAGATCTGGACAAAAATTCCCATCTACTCTTTTGTTCCCATGCCACCTTGTATTAAACAACTAAGTATAACTTGCCACTAATGTAATTGAAACAATTTTGATAATATCATGTTGCTCCTTTAGTTGTTGTTGACTTGCTGTTTCTGTTTATTTATTGTAGTTTTATAAAACCTGATCTTAAATTTCAAAAATTTATAAAAACTTTTTTGGGGGCAAGTTGTGTTCAATTTTCTTCTTCAGAAGTTGTCTTGAATAATTTAATTAGAGTTATCACAAAAAATCGGATTTTGGTCATTAAAACAGAAATAATAAATATTGTCATGTACTTAAATTTATTACAGACAAATAAACTAGAAGACAAAACTTCAAAAAAACTTATTAGAACTGTAAAATAACTTACTAGAACTGCACTTGTAAAAAAACATTTTAGAAACCCAAGAAACAAATATAATATATAAAATCAAAAAAGTTTTAAACTCTACAAATTAAACTGTGAGATAATGACAATGAGGGTGCATAAAATCAATTTGGATAATGTTACCCATGCAAACCCACCAAAAAGTATCATTATAATATGCTATCACTAAAAGGAATCATACTAATCATATTAATTTGTAGAGTTTTAATATTTAGTTATTTTTGCTTGTTGAGTTTCTAATATGTTTTTTTACAAATGCTTTGTTTGTCTTCTAGTTTATTTGTCTCAAATAAATAAATATGAAATGCTTTATAAGTAATATGCTTTATAAAATGCTTTATAAGTAATAAATTTAAATACACTTGAAAATATATTTTGATTCTGTTTTGAAAATGATCACAATCCGATTTTATATAATAACTCTGAATAAATTATTCAAGAAAATTTCTAAGAAGAAGAAGAAGATTTCTAAGAAGAAGAAAATTTCTAAGAAGAAGAAAATTGAGATATACATATTCATTTTTTATAATTCAACCCTCCCCCTAAAATATTTTTATAAATTTTTGAAATTTAAGATCAGGTTTTATAAAACTACCAAGAAAACAGAAATAGCATATCAACAACAACTAAAGGAACAATTTGATATGATCAAAACTGTTTCAGTTACATTACTGGCAAGTTATACTTGGTGTTTAATACACGGTAGGTTGAGAATAAAAGAGTGGGTAAGAATTTTTGTTCAGATCTAATAAATGAGAAGGAGAGTGTTTATAAACAAGTGAATGAAATAATTTATATAAGTGAGTTTATATTTTCTAATTTTTAAGACCAAACCCAATCTTAAAAATTATAAAATAATAACTGAATTTTTTTTTTAATGATACAATTTGTTTGCTCATAACAAGTAAAATTTGAAAAACAAGGAGAGAAAGTCTTAATAGCTCCAGGTGGTGGAAAAAATTTCTGAAATAATTAACATCCACTTCTTTATGTAGCCATTAAGAGTAACTATGATTTTTCATAATTATTATTTAAAGTAATAAGTTTAAGATAATTTGACCATTTTTTTTGTGTGTTAAGAATAGACCACTCTCCAATTTTTTGTAACAACTTTAACTATATTCAGGACAACATCTTAAAAAACTCAAGCTACTTCTGCATTTTTGTAAATAGACTCGCCCCAGTAAAAGTGTGATAAAAGGTTCAAATTTCAGTTGTTTGCACCTGCTATTTAAGAATTGAGGTTGCACTTTGTGAAAAAATTAGATATTTTCACATGGAATTGCTCATATGTAATATGTTTACTATTATTGTTTATTTAATTGTTTATTTGTTACTATGTAGTTATTGTTTAGTTGTTTATTTATTTATACAATTATGTTGAAATTGTGTTTAGTTAATGGTGTCTAATTTCTTATTACAGTTAATGTTTATTTATTGTAATAGTTAGTATTATTTGTTATTATAATAAAACTATTAAAAAAAAAAATAACAAAGTACTTTCTAAGAAATAAGTAATAAGTTGATGCATGAATTTAGAAAGTTGTTTACTATGGAGGGAATATGCCATCTGCTCTCAGAATGAATCGTACGACTCCTGAATTTGCTGTATCTGTTATTTTTGACGGACTACTAAAGGCTGCAATTAATTTTACAAGTTTGCATGAACCAAGTCGTTTATCATGTTGTGAAGATAAATTGGTTCATTTTTTAGTTGCTGATGTCCTACCGAAACTTAAAAATATAATCTGGGGAAAGGTTTAGTTTTAAATTTTTGTTTTTTTAATTACTCTTTTATTTAAAAACAAGATTTTTGCAATTTATTATAAATATTTTACGCAATTTTTATTATCTGTGTTTCAGCCCTTAGAATTAGGGTCAGCCATGCTGATCCAACTGCCCACTTAAAAGTGTTTGAAATCACTGACTTTGTTTCTATGTTTAATGGTAAAACCTTTTTGTCCAAGTTTTTGTGTCAGCCTGATGCTGGCCTATAATATTTTAAGGTCGGTAATTTATTGCCAATCTAATTTTTTGTAATTCCAAGGGCTGGTGTTTGTTTTACTTTGTCTAAATTTAAAATAATTTGCATAATTACAATAATTGTTTGAAAATTTTTTTTTTAAAGTTCACGAATTTTTTTTTTTTTTATAAGCATTTTAGGTGTTACATACATAAAGATGTATCATATACATCTACTACAACATACATCAATGTTTTATGTAAAACCTGGATTATTAATATTAAAAAAAACAACTATATATAGTTATAGTGATAATTAGTGCAGCTTCATGTAGGTTATTTTTGTAAGTTAAGCACAGAACTTTATACTTAGGTTAGTCACAGGAATTTACGAAATAACCATAAACTTCTATGTTATTTAAGAATAGCCTTCCTTTTTTAGGTTTACTTTTTTTTTACTTGTACGTAATTGGTGTAAAGTATTAATAGTTTTGATGAAAAAGTTTTATCTATTATTTTATGCTTAGGTTTATCCTTCATTTTTGTTTAAGCATTTTTTATTGATGGGCAAAGTATTGCTAATGTATTTTAAGTAATTTTTAGAAATAAATAAAATACAAACAATCCAAACGATATAATTTATAAAAATTAAAAATAGTGTTATTTATTTTCTTTAAAATTTTTTAATTTTTTGGTGGTAAAATAATCTAAGTTCTATCTTTTAATAAGGTCCTTTTTTATTATTGTTTTCCATTTTTCAGTTTATTGTGATTATTTTTTTCTTTTTATTTTGTTTTAGTTGTTTTGTTTTTTCAATATTTTTTTTATTTTATCTTTTTATTTATAAGCTTCAATATTTTCCTTGTTTTCACTTGGTTGAATAGAAGATTTTAATTAAAACTATGTATTTTAAAATCTTATTTATTTATTTTTTCTTTTCTCATTTATTTATTTTTCTCCTTTTTGCCTTTAAAATGCGTTTCCACCATTTTTCAAAAAATTACCATTATTCCCATCAAGTTTTCTCTTATATATTTTCTCAACTTGTTTCTCTGCGCAGTGGCCTTGTTTTTCATGTTTTGGAGTTATAGAGTTGAGAGGCTCCTCTATGGCGTTTTCTCTGTTACAATCTAATATCTAAAAAAGATTTTCTGAATTTAAATTTTCAAATTTTAAGACCTTGTCAAGTTTTATAGCTGTCTTTTTATGTTTGGTTTTCTCCAAAATAATCTAGCATAATATTTTATTAATTTTTTTTTAATAATACAAGTGGTTATCATAAATATTACATTTGAAATACTCTAAATGGTAATTTGTACCCTTTCTTTTTCGATACTGTCAAGCATGGCAAGCTCTCCATAAAACTGCATCTGTTAAACCAATTCATAAAAAGGACTTGAAACTTGACTGCAATAACTATAAATTAATATCATTATTATCAAATATCATCAAAATTTTTGAAAACTAATGTATCTTTGTATCTACCACTTTATTCATAGTTACAAGTGTTTTCTATGGCTGTCATGCTTTTGTTTAAAGCACTCTACTTCCCATGCTCTTATTAGCTTTTATGGGTCTCTACTGTTTTTAGTATATTAATGATTTATCTCATTCTATAAATAACTTGATTGTTCATCGTTTTAATTGTTCATAATTGTTAATCGTTCATTTCGCTGATATTATTAATCTTCTATTTATTATTAAATCACTTAAGCAGCTTTGTATATAAGTGAATTGGGCAGCGTTAAGCAGAAGCTACCATCCCACTCATACTTAGTTTTAAGATAAATGAATTTGAAATTTATTTTGATTGTTTCAAAATTCTGCATTTAAAATAAAATTTTAAATAAAGTTGTTCTTCAATAATTGAGGAATATTTTTATTAATTCATTCATACTTGGTTTTAAGTTAAATACTTCCTGAATAAAGTTGTTTCATAATTATTAAGGAGCAACTTTATTTAAGATTTTATTACAAATGCAGAATTTTAAAACAGTCAAAATATATTTCTGATTAATTTATCTTAAAACCAAGTATGAGTGGGTTGATAGCTTTCTGCTTAATGTGGCGCAGTTTTGGCTAAATTATAACAGTATTTCTCTTATATCAATAAAACTATATAAAAATAACCACAAATAAGTAGCTTCCTTGTCTATAGTGGCCTTCTTGGCCTTGGGGAGGTGAATTAACATAAAAAAAAAAAAAAAAAAACTAGATTTGTTTTTCAAGAAATAATGGTAAATATCATATCCAATCTAAATATATAAATAATCTACAAGCTTTATAATTTATTAAAGTGGGTTTAATTCCAAAGAGTTTTAGTATATGACATCATTGTAGAATTATGATAAGAAATCTTAAAATTCTTTTTTTCATCAAATTATATAATTTTTTTTTTCATTATAGATTACTAAAGAATTTATTTAGTTAATAATAAATCAAAAGCAAATTTTTGACAAATCAAGATTTACTAGGTTGACGATTTTTACAGCCTGTTTACACTGAAAGGTTTTGTTTTTATCGGTGACTGAAATAATTATTTGCTATTTTGTAAAGCTAATTTTCACTGATTTTTTTTTTTGAAGTTTACTCTGTAAAATATGTATTGCTTGTTTTATTAATTCTTAAAGTTTTCCCACCAACCAATAATTTAAAATTAAAATTTAAAATTGAACTACAAATTAAAGAAAAACATTTTTTAGTTTAGCTTCTTATAATGATTATTAAAAAGTCATACAATTGATGATAAATGCCTATTTTAAAAAACAAATAACATTAATTCAAAAAAAAAAAAAAATCCTACATAAAGGTCATAATCTAAAACGCCTTGGAATTAAACGTGCTTAACTAAACTATAAAGTCTGTAGATTAAAGCCTATATTTTAAAGAGCAACTGGCTAATATGGAGACAACAAGCTTCGAGTAAAAGAACAAAGTTAGTTTTTCTTAGTACATATTTATTATTTTGTTTTACTCAAAAAAATTCAGCCCAAACATTTTTTTTATCATTCTCTTTAATATGAACACAACTTGTCTTGCCACTTTGGAATCCCTTTAAATGTAACACTAAAAAAAGAAAGACAGGAATAAAATATAAAAAGATTTTTTCCTTCTTTTAATTAAAAGAAGGCCTACCAAAACCTTTAGTTGATGTATGTATACTACGCCTATTGTTATATCATTCGATGTATGTACACTTGGTGTTAATATAAAGACAAAGAAAATAAAAGAAAAAATTAAAAGAAAATATTAATATAAAAAAGGCAACATTATCCAAAAAGTATGCCATTAAAGTTATTTTTGCAGTTAAAAATTGATAAAATTTAATGTACTCTTACAATTAGTTTAAAAGTTTTGACTTTTAAGAATATTATTTATTTTATGTATTTTTGAGTTTTTTAAATGTTGTGGTAACAAAATAGAATAGCTAAAAGACTTTTTTTTCTTACAATCCAAAGTTTAGAAATAGAATATTTCATAAGAGCATATATTAGTTTTGCAAAACAAGAAAAAGGTTAAGAACCAAGGTCACAGATTTATAGAAATTCAGGAGTGTCTTAAATAAAAGTGTTTTAAATAAGAAAACAGAGTTGCTTGACCTTGGATTTGACAAATGTGAGCAACCAAAAGATCACTACATTCTGAAAATTAGGATATTTTTGAGACTGCAAGATTATAACATGCAACATCATCAGGACTACACAAAAATCAATAGCAAGATTCTGAAATAAAAAGTTTGGCCTGCCAGGAGACCAGGTGCACATACCTGGTCTCCTGGCAGTTTTAGCCCTGTAAACAATTATAACATGCACTGTCCTTAGAATTACACAAATGCTGAAAGTTTCAGAGCTCTAGCTAGTCTAGAAGGTAGTGAAAAACCTGTAGCTAAATTTTAGAACAACTGACAAACAGGGGTGGGTGGATGTGAGGCATGTTTTCACTGTCTTCCTTAGTGTTGTTTGCCCTGAAAACAATTTTAACATGCAATTTCATTGAGACTACTTATGCTGAAAGTTTTGGAGCTCTAGCTAGTCTGAAAGTTAGTAAAAAATCAATAGCAAGTTAGTAAACATTTAATTGGAAAAGTTAAAATAAAAGTTGTAAAAAAAAAATAGTTTAAATAGACAAATGGTTATTACTGCTGTGAAATAAAACAGCCCTGTTTAAAATCTTTATTATAAATACATTGTGTTTATTCTCATGTTTTAAAAATGAATGATTAGAATTTTTACATAAAATTATAATTTTGAATATATTATATTTAATAACTCTTTACTACTTTAATTCTAAAATTCTATCCTAAAATATAATTCTTATTAAAATAATCTTTTTAAAACTATTAAATGAAACAAAATAATTCCTAATCTTAATTTTATACATTATTATAAAACAAATATACGTTATTAAACAAACTCTGTGCCACATGAAGTGAAATTAACCATAAACTGATTTTCTGTAAACTATCAGCTCACTAATATTTTTGAAGACATTTGCTATTTTACAAAAATTCTAGGTTCAATTTTTTTCATTTACTCTAAATGCCCTGATTTTTTTCTTCAAAGTAGTTAAGATGTCTCTCAAAATTTATGAAGCTTACTAATGGACTGGACACCATATCATAGACTCCATAGATAAAAAACAAATAGTCATTTTGTGACTTTTATTATATTTGTTGGCAATTTTATTATATTTGTTGCGTGAAATATTAATATAAAAAGCAGTATACTGTATTTATTCATCTTTTTTATGAAGATAATCAAGAAAGAATTTTAGTAATCTTGATAAAGCTATAAAATGACGTTTGAATCAGGCTTTAATAAATAAATAATTAAATTTTTTTATTATGTTAATATTTTTATTTGTTAATTTTTGTTATATACAATACAAATGTGCAAAATATTACTATTAACAAATTTTATTACATTTTAACAATTTTTGTTTTATATTGCTTACACATCAGTAAAAAATTGTTTAAAATGGTAATTTTTTAGTCAACAGCCAGAGAATCGTTTTTAAACTCCACATGCAAACTGCTTTACAACTGTGCACAATCAAGAAATTGCATTCCTATCTTTATAAATGACGGTTGTGTTAGCATCTTATCAGATATGCAACATGCTACTATTGGTATACAGGGTGCTCAAAAACCTGGAATAACTATATTGATGATACTTTCTTTCATGGTTGATCAAAGCCACGAAGTGTTTGATGAAGGTAAACTAGAAAAAGTTTTATATTAATAGATCAAACCTAATATATGCCAATATTTGTCAAATCTCGATAGAAGATTTTATGACAGAAATGTTACATCCTTACACTATTAGTTGTATGACTCAAAGTTTATCTTAAACAAAATCAATTAAATCTAAATCTGGCAGAAAGAAAATTTCAGGTTTATTGCAATTAATCTTATACTTAGGGACGTTAAGTTTTTTAGCCACTTAACAGAGTGAAGAAAAACTCTGAAATGTATACATAAATTAATTGTGAGTAAGGGTAGAAGCTTTTAAAGCCGTTGGTAATCATTCTAGTGTTAGTTAACAATAAAAATACCTAGTCCTAATCCGGAAGAATTAAATCTGAGACAAGCATTCAGTTGTGGAAAATGGTTTCAATTTTACCATTATTTCATATTTACAGTAGATGAGATAATTATCTGAACATTTTTAATTTTTCACAAAAAAAAATTTTCACAAAAAAGTTTAAGGTTATTATGAAAATTTAATCAAAAATTAAAAAAAAAAAAAAAAATTAATTAAATTTAATTGCAAAAAGCTTAACAATGCATTCAAACTGTACCTTTTTTTGACAATATTAAATAAGTATCCAAACAAAATTTTAAATATTAGGCGTTTCTCTGAGTAATTTAATTTTTACTTGAAGCTTTTATGACTTCTGCAAGTCAGTTTTGCATTGATTTGACTAATTTCTTTATCGTGTCTAGATTGATTTGAGTCTTCTTAGAGCATGGCTTTAGCTCTTTTTTTCTTTTCAGACACTCTGTGCCACTTTTTTGATCCAGAATGGCCCACAGGTATTTAATTGGATTAAAATTTTCAATTTGCTTCTGGTAAAAAAAAAACTCTTGTGCTCTCTTTCACATATGCTTAAGGTTATTGTCTTGTTTGAGAAAAAGTTCCCGATTTTTTTTGTTGATGCCAGAAGATTTTTATTGAGAATGCATAAATCTCAGAGTCCGTAATTCTATCAATAAACTTCAGCTTTCCTGTTCCTTTCCAAGCCATCGATCTCCAGACCATTACATAGCCTCCACCAAAAATTTTATTGTTCCTCAAATACAACTGAGTGTGAATGCTGCCTCCATACATTTTGATTTGAGCTCCATCTGACTTCACGAGATTAAACTTCTACTTTTCAGTCCACAAAACTTTCTTCCAGAACTGGCATATTATGAAGCAGAATGTTGTCCATCAAGGGTGACGTTAATACTACTTTCAGATTTTTATATGACATTAATACTTTTACAGACACATTTTCAGTCCTTGGAATTAAGATGGGCATTCGGCAATGTCGACCTAACCGCCGACCTCAAAGTGTTTGAAATCAGTAAAAAATTGTCAACCTCATTCTAATGTTATATGGTAGACTGTTTAGTTACTAAGGTAAAATTTATTAAATTTATTGAAGACCGTTTAGTTACTACCATTAGTTACTATGAAATTACCATAGTTACCATTGATTATATTCATTAAAATAAGATTCAAGAGATTTAAATCAAATGCAATTGAGTTTAATTTAATTTGCAACCAAGTTGATTACTATACCTTAAGGATTTCATAGAATTTAATAAGGATTAATATATAGGATTTCATATTTATTTTGATTTAAATAAAGATTTGAATTTGAATAAGGATTTCATTTTAAAATTGAAGATTCAGGTTTTAAATCTTTGTGGTTATATAACAGTTGTCTTTGAAATTAAAATCTTAAACTTAATATTGAGAATTTTTTTTTAACTTGTGATAAAGAATTAAAAGCATTAAATATTGCAAGGTTTGTAATATTTCTATGTAGTAAAAGAATTTTCTTTCTAAAAAAGCTATTTTTTCTTCCTAGCCTCTGTTATTTGGCTGCTTCAATGTCTGGACAAGTCTCTTGAGGATTCTAAGCATATGATTCATGATTTTAATGCCTGTGACCTGGCAAATTGTTTTACAAGAATTGCTTCAAATGAAGTCATTAGAGAACGTGTAAGTCATATTTTTTATACTTCTCAAATTTATGTTAAGTTTTGTTGGTATACTTTATGTGTATATATATATATATATATATATATATATATATATATATATATATATATATATATATATATATATATATATATATATATATATATATATATATATATATATATATATATATGTATATATATATATATATATATATATATATATATATATATATATATATATATATAAAAAAAGAACAAAGAAGAACAAAAACTCTACATATTACAAGCCTAATCCGAGCAAAAATATCTGCTTGGTATGTTAACTGCTCAACTAAATAGAAAAATAATAAACTTAAAATAAACAGCTATCTTCTTAATCGTTCCGTAAAAGCTGAAGTATTTAAAGCAAAAGAAGCACACAAAAAAGAAATAATATTAACATACTTTTGAATAATTTCCATCATTAAAAAAATGATATTAACCTGAATGAACTTATAATGACAACTTGGGTTTTTCTATTTTAGACATTATTGACTTACTAATTTAAACCCCTATAAATATTTTTTCCATTTACAAAAATCTTTCATAAGTTCCTTATTTCTGAATACTACTCATTCTAGAAATTAACAGATTTTAGTTTGGTCTATAAAATACCGGAAGATAAATTACTTGTTGAAAACTCTCGAACTATTTCACTAAACTCTGTTTCCTGCTAAATAGTCAAAATATTTCTTAAGAACAAAACTTTTAACCACATTAATGATAATAAAATGCTTTTTGCAAATTTCTTCACCATAAATTATGCATGACCACTAATCTAATAGAGACTTTTGATATTGTTTCATCTTCTAGATTTTTTCACCAATTTATTGATGTAATCTCAATTTTGCCAAAGCGTTGATTCTATACCTCAATACAGACGTATGTTAAAATTAAGATCTTTTGAAATAAATGGGAAACAAAATAAAAAGGTATAATAAATCAATCCCTAAAAAGTTTTACAAAAGCTCTAAAAATTTAGGAGTCATTATTTCATGTAACACCAAGTGGAGCGCACATTTTTGAAAAGTTGTCAAAGCCCATACAAACTCCTGGTATGCAAAAAGACATTCACTTTTATTGATGAAAATATGACTTAAGTTATATAAAGTGTTTATTAGACCACATCATAAATATACAGCGTCTATTTAGGCTTCTTATTTATAAACTGATTAACCTTGGTTGAATCTATTCAACGCTAAGCAAAAAAATTGCATAAGACATCTTTAATACTACGACTAAAAAGATTAAATCATTGACTAAGTGTTTTGGTTGACTATCATTGACTAAGTGTTTTGGTTGGGTCAGCGATAAGCTTTTCTGCACTCTTTTCTTGCATTTTACACATTGAAAATTTCCACATTACTACATATCACCCGTGTCCACAATAACATATTATGATATAAGTTGCTCATTTAAAAATTTGATAGTAGTACTTATGTATATTTGACATTACCCATTAGGTAGCAAATGCAAAAAGATCCTTAAGCACATTAAAACACATTTACGGTCAACAATGGTGCAAATCATTTTGTCTGCACTAGACCTAATAGCTACTGAAGCAGAAATAGACAGCTCAATTAAATTTAAAAAGGTGTTATAGAAATAGCAGCTCAATTAAATTTAAAAAGGTGTTATAGAAATAGCAGTTTAATTAAATTTAAAAGGTGTTATAGACCAACTTGCAGCTATAAAGACAAGAAAAAACTTTTTTTTTCCTTAGAATTAGATTAGATAGTTCTTATTTAATTAGATTAGATAGTTCTTATTTAATTAAATCAAAATTTTATTCAAAAATAAATTTTTTATTTTCATGCACAATTTTTGTCAACAAAAAGAAAAGAGAGGGTGGGGGGGGGGGGATGGAAAGCATAAAAGTAATTTAGGGGTCCAGATTAAAACTTTGCAGGGAGGCCTATTTTGTCGCTACCCTACTGATAGCAATGATAAAAAAAATAAGTAAAATGTTTAACTTAAATCTGCTTGGTGAATTATCCTGAGCAAATGTTTTTCTTATCATGTATTCTCTAAAATATTTAGAAATACAAACTTATCAAGGATATAATTCAAATCTCATCTTAATTTGTGGGTATGTGTGTGGAGTTTTTAGAAGATTTGTTTGAAGATAAACAATTTTTACAAAAAGTCATATTTCTAAACAACCCTCTGGATAAGAAATAATTTATAGCATATGCAAGTTTTTGGACTTCCTGCTTGAAGTTGATTTAAGAGTGATTTAGGTATTAAAAGTGATGATAGTTAGAAAAATGAGTTCTAATCTTAAATCCTGTAATGCAACAGAGACAGTTACCATTAAAATAAGTTAGTAAATCTTTATATGAAGATACTTATCTAGGGTCCTGTCTCACACCTTTTTTTATCTTAACAAATTGAGAAAAAATTCCTACCCAGATAATTAAAAAGTTTAGTTTTTAAATTAAAAGTTTATATTGGATTGGTAATTTTGATGGGTATTTTTCATAACCAAGCATTATAAACTATTGATTTTTTAATGAATTTTACCATACCCAATTGTTTTTAAAAGTCGTGCATTGGGATTGGTTAATCAAATTCAAAATGGAAAAATAAGTTAACAGAAAAAAAGCAGAGATAGAATAAGAAAAAAAAAATGGAAGACTTTACAAGCCTTTTCTTCATTTCAATAAATTGCTTAAACAAATTGCATAAGTTGCAGAAACGCATTTAATGTCTAATTGGCTAGCATAGATGTACACATGTGTTTCATTGTACAGTTTTACTGTTTCATTAAACAGTTTCATAACATTATTTGCTTCAGTTTCATGACATTATTTAGTTCAATGGAAAATTAGTTTAATATCTTCCTCTACACATATAGTCCAAATACATTATTATTTTATTTACATACAGTTCAAATTATATGCACATAAAAAAAATATATATATATTTTAACATATATAGTCCAAATACATATATTACTGGTATTTATTAAATTAAGAGTAAGTAAGATTAAGGTTTCTGTAGCAAACAGGTTGTTGAGCTTATGTTTATTAAAAAAGTTTGAATATTTATTTAAAAAGTTTGATTTTTACAAATCATAAAAAAGTAATATCATTACAAATATAAATATTTATATTTATTAAAAAAATTTGATTTTTACAAATCACAAAAAAGTAGTATCATTGCAAATATATATATTTTTCAGTTGTTTTGAATTAACCATTTTTTTTAGTGAGTCCTCTAAAGGTAAGGTTTCACTTTAGTTAACCTTATTAAATAAAAATAGATAAAAATGGAAATAGTTTAAGGCCTCGCTCTTACACATGGTTTCTTCCTTATTGTGTCGATGCTATTTCTAATTGTAATTCTTTCTTTCACCTTTTTTACATTTCTTGCAACCTTTGAGAGCAAACATTTGAGAACAAATTTATGTATTTGTTGTAAAAACAATAAATACATATGGTTATGTATGGCTACATATGGTTATGTATGGCTACATATGGTTATGTATACCTCTGAAGAGATTTTTATATCTTAGTTTATCTGTATTATTTTAATAGAAAGTTATAAATAATAGTAATTATTATTATTACAAAAGAGGTGTGAACTTTGCTGTGGTTTTTTAATGCTTTAACATTAAATAGTATTAGTTATTATTATTACGAAGGAGGTGTGCACTTTGCGGATAAATACTTTAACATTGCACAAAAATGTTATTGATGATAGCAGTAATAAATATTTATTACTTCTATCTTTCTTTGCAATAAAAATGTCCGCTACTTTAAGTTTTAAGAACAAATCAAAAATAAATAAAATCGTGTAGCAAACAGTATTGGTGCAATATTGTTTATATAACTTACATACTGCAACCCTTGGAATTAGGAAAAATGAGGTCGGCAACAAAGTGCTGATTTAAAACTGTTAAAGGTTGGCATCAGGTCAGCAAAAAATATTGACACAAAAAAGTTACCATAAAACATAAAAATAAGTTCGGCAATTTATTGCTGACCTCAAACACTTTTAGGTCTGTAGTTAGGTAGGCATTGCCAAATGCTGGCCCCAATTCCGAGGGCTGCATACTGTAAATAATATTACACCAATATTGTTTGCTACTCAGGAATATTTTACCTATTATCAAAGTTTACAAAAAATTATCAAATTATATTCAATATGATTTTTTAATATTACAATTTATTATACTTTTTTTTGTTAAGTTTTTGCTTTTTCTTTTTAGTATGAATTGAAACTGAAAAAAATATATATATATATATATTTTTAAATTTACAATGAAAGTTTTTTACAATATTTTTGTTTCATTTGTTTTGTCAATTTGATGACCAAAGTTCATCTTTAGTTATAATAATTGAGGTTATAGTTTATTAATGAAATTGATTGGAATATTTGCTTTGAAAAAATTTTATTTCAAAAAATATGCGGTACCTTTTTGTTAGATTTAAAGCATGTAATAATTTTATTCTTATAATAGATTTAAATATAAGAATAAAAAATTTTATAAGTTCAAAATTAAAATTAAGTTGACCCTCCACCAAATTGGTGGAGGGTCAACACCAACACCCTCCACCAATTGCGATTGTTCAAATTAATACTAGCCAATCATTGTTACCTGACATTATTTTTTGAGATATGACTCTCCTTCACTTTTGTTTGTTATTTTTTTAAGCTTTATCATAAATGATTAAATCATTTTCTTTAAATTTATTTTTATCATTTTCTTTAAAATAGTTTAACATCTCGCATGGATCTGATTTTTCATCTTTACTAAGGATAAGGCAAAACTATTTTCAAATAAATTTTATTTTAATTTATCTCAAATCTAATGACTGCATTCCTTTTGATTGCTATTATGTTTATTTAAGATTGTTCAAAATAGTGGCCAAGAAATATTTCACAAATTCCTTCGGCATTCATATAATGATAATGAACAGATAGCTGCATGCAATTCGTTATGGAGTATTGCATTTAATAGTCAAGCAAAAGATATTATTCGAGGTATGGGCAAGCTCATGAATCTTTTGCTAAAACTGAAGGTTAGATTCATATATAAGTTTTTTTTTTATTAAATAGTTAAATTTTTTATTTATGTATAAGTTTTTATATATTTTTTATAAGTTTTTTATATAAGTTTTCAAAATTGTATTGAGTTTAATTCAGTCTTAGTTTATAGCTTGTTTCTAATAATGATTATGATATACTTTTATATATGTATTTTTTTTACATT